TGTGCTCCACAGGGTTTTCAATGTCTGTTTTTCTGGAAGTAGATCACCAGGCCTTTCTTTCAAGGTGCTTCTGGATAGACACGAACCTCCAGCCTTTCAGTCAGCAGCCGAGCATGTTAACTCTTTACACTACCTGAGGACTCCTTGCCGTTTTCTAATAATGTGAAACTGGGGAGTGACAGCGTCTCTTCACCTCATTTTGCCCATCTGTGAAGCAGGGTTCAAGACAGCATCTTCCTTGCATGGGGTGGAGGAACGATTGGATGAGCCAGCGCGTGCCGAGTGCTCAGGCCCGCCCAGCACACCACCGGTTAATGCGACCGAAGGCTTGTCCTTATCGTGCCTCCTCCATCCTGCCATTTGAAAAGGATAGTGTCCTTTTCCACCTCTTTTCTTGTGACCCTGGGGTGGAGTCCTACTGTTGCAAGGCTGGAAGGGATGAGCTCAGGAAGAGAACAAGTGTTTGTTTTTTTCCTGAGACACATTTCGAACTTTAGAGAAAATGAAAGTGGCCATTTGAGGGGAGGCTTGGCTCTGGGAGGTCCTTCATCCTGCCAGGGTGATAGGAACCTCTTTCCAGAAGAAACTGGACTTCCTCTCTGCCACCCCGACTCCCAGGGCCAGTTTTGGGGGCTGCTGGCTTCCCAGCTAGCCCTTGGCATGGCCAGGCTCTGCCAGCCTGCTGGGCACATGTGCCCTCAGCCAGTGCCCACGTGGACTTGGAATTGCGACATTGGCCTAGATGGATTCTGTTTTGGAGAAGCTGTTTCAGGTATCCATATAAATAGCAATATTTAGTTTCCCTTTCTAAGCTCCTTGATTCCTTATAGGTTTACTCTCTACTTTTTCACTTTCTGGAGAGCTGGCATTGCAACAGCAGAGGATAGATAGGCGGTGTGCAGAGCCCAGGGCCCGGGGCAGGTGGACTTTCTAACTGTGGCTGTGTCTCTGCAGGAGATAAACGGCATCACTGCAGCACTGGCCGAGGAGCTCTTTGAGAAAGGTACGTGGTCAAAGTCCCTGAAATACTACATGCAACTTGCCCAGCCCTACTCGGCGGCCAGGGGCCCAGGTGGCACATAACTCCTTCTGTCAAGGTGTGCCAAGTGAGTCCTAACCAGGGCCCACCCCCCTGCCCTGCAGGAAGCCAAGTCAAGGAACTGGTCCTTCACCTCAGGCTAGCCCTGGGCTCAGGAGCCATTGCAAAGCCCCACGGTGGGGCTCTGGA